TCGAAACACTAGACGTCCGCCGTCCGGTCCACGGACGGAACGGCTCTGAAGGTAGGGTTGCCAGATAGTCGTGTGGCGGCGACATCTATATGCCCCACATATATACAACGGATCATTACTCACCATCCTCAAGAGATGGCGTTACCTGCACTGCGATCATAATAGTATGGAAGCCCGGAGGGAGTGATGTGGCGGCGACATCTATATGCCCCACAGATATACAACAGATGTAGGAAATCATTACTCACCATCCTCAAGAGATGGCGTTACCTGCACTGCGATCAATATTAGTATGGAAGCCTACATCGCACAAATGAAATTCGGAGGCTAACTCTTCATATACACGATGCCCGACCAACATCAGTCGGGCCGCGGCCCCCGAGCTACCATCACCCAGCTCGGAGGAAGATCTTCCCCTTTGGCCTTCCTACACTGGTGACCCTCGACTGAGCACACATACTAATATTGATCGCAGTGCAGGTAACGCCATCTCTTGAGGATGGTGAGTAATGATTTCCTACATCCGTTGTATATCTGTGGGGCATATAGATGTCGCCGCCACAGTCGGAAATCGTCCGGATTCTCCCGACATTTTAAGTCTCCAGATTTCCGACAAATAACGAATTCTCCCGACAAACGAACAGATAGGTACGATGTTCTGTTCTTTTACCCTGTGCCCTATCCGCATCTAGCTTAAGTAGGACGTGAGATATCTGGCAATGGGGTGAGTAATTCTCCTGACAACAATCCCAAAATCCCGACCATTTACAAGGTTATCCAGATATTTTAACTTCGATCTGGCAACCCTAGCTGGAGGTCGTGAGAACGAGTCACGCCTGAGCGAAGCTTGCGTGTTCGGTATACTAATTTGATTGGCATATCCCACTAACCGTTTAGTCTGTTAGGAATTTGCAAATTAACTTTAGCTTCTTAGTTTAATTTCTTACAAAGACAAGAGTCTGGTCAAGCAAGCGCGTTGGAATTGAAGCGCTACGCTTAATGCGTAATGGCTTCTGAAGAAGAAATGCCGCATCTATGCGACTGGACTCCACTTACACTTAACATCAGGTGAGGTTGGGTGTCGTCGGTACGGAGCAGAGATGTGACTTATCTGAGATAGTTACTAGTGAACTCGCCCCGTGTCATCGAGGCTTTCAGGTTGAGAGAAGAATGTGTTTTGTCACCCATTGAATGAATGATGAAGGTCATAGGCTGTTGGGCTATATTATGTCTACCTGTGGTATTGATTGGTGTAAGATAACTATAAGTGTCGCCGCACACGGGCCACACGCCACAGCCACAAACGCCGCCATGAGAAGCTAGAAGCGGCTACTAAAGTGGCTGAAGCGCGCGACAGGCCGAAAAGATAAAGGAGAGAGGGGTGGGGAATCGCGCGAGTGACGTGTGGCGGCGTTTTGATCCGCGCATTAAGTGACCGGTGCGGGCCACAAGAAGCGAGCAACGACGATTTGTAGCGTGTGTCGGCCACCGCGTACCGTGTGTGGCGAGTGCATATAAAATGTATGAAAACTACAAGAAATATGCCGGTGGCGGCGTTTTGTGGTTGTGGTCGGTGGTCCGTGTGCGGCGACACTAAGCCTCTTGAAAGTTGTATTTTTAATATCACTTAGGGCACTTTTAATTTATGCGTTTCTTGACGTCCTGCTGCGGTGCCGAAGCGGTGCGTTTGTCGTACAGCGTACGGACGATCCTTCTTTTTCATACAAAACGCGCGGTGCGGCGACAGTCCTGTGGTCGAGCGTTCGCGGTACCGGCGCCGCAGCAGGCCGACAAGAAATGCATAACTTGAAAGCGCACTTAGGCTGAGCGCAGATTAGAGTCACGACAGTCTCAAGACAGACTATTGCTTAACAAAAATTATGAAGATGCGCACATTCGAAACGAGACGTCTCATAGACAAAAAAGTCTTATGTACACAAGAACTGCAAAGCGACAAGTCTGACTAACGATTGTCCGCTTCCCTTTGTAATGTATGCGAGGGCGCACACCAACGATAAAATTGTCTAGCGATTAGGAATGATAATCGATACTGAAAGAAAGTATAATACATACGATAAAATAAGTAATATGTGGGTCCATAAATTTTGACAAATTATCAAAGATAGATTGATACATTCATTCGAAATTACTGGTAAAACTTTCTGGGCTGGTGCCTTAATTTCTATAAAATAAATAATCGGTGAAATCTATTCTGATACTGATGAAAATGGAGTGTGTCGCATCATAGACAAAACAGTTTCGTCTTGGTGTGCGCCTTGTGGTAGACACAACTGTTTCTTTTTAATTGTAAAGCTGTCTCGTCTATGTAAGACAAGATTGTCTAACAACTGTCGTGACTCTAATCTGCGCTCAGCCTTAGTTGATTGCCGAGATAGAAACCGTTTTAGGGTTCCGTGCCCAAAGGATAAAAACGGAACCCTATTACTGCCCAGTGTTAGGCGTAATTAATTACTTTTGTAATTTAATTACTAATTCAATGAATAGTAATTGAATTACTTTAATTGAAATTTAATGTAAATGAAATTACTGTAATTCAATTACTCACGTCCGAAGTAATTTAAATTACATTAGTTTGTAATTCAAATTACTCAATTACTTTTTAAGGGTAACATACAAACTACTAAAACTGTGCGGTTATTAACTTGATGCCCGTACGCAGCACAACAAGCATAACACAAACAAAGTTTTAGTATATAATTTGACATGAATTTTTGAGTGTGTAAGTGTGTGCCTCATTACCTGTACCTACACAGCTACCTATCCCTATTCTAGTCTCCCGGCGGCGTGCACCTTTATTTCAATTGAATGTTCTCATATGCTACAATGATTAACTTACCAAAATCTCACAAACTTTCTGATCAAATGTTTGAACAAAGAGTGGTATTAAAGTCTAATTTAAATTAAATCAAACATTTATTGTCTTAATTTTAAAAAAGGTGTTTGTATATTACTCAATTTATCTGATCTATTTCGTAACTAAACATTTGATAAATCATAGTATAATAGTTTTATTTAAAATACTACCTCATCTTTAAAATAGATTATATATAAGTAATTGAGTAATTGCAATTAACAATTACAATGGCTAATTTTAATTGTTAATTGAATTACATTTCAATAATTTCAAGTAATTTGTAATTAAAGTCACTAATTACAATTTGTAATTGAAATTGTAAATTTGAAGTTAATTACATTTTGCCCAACACTGTCTGCCATTCTGTCGTCTGTTTCTCTGTACATCACGGGGCTAGTTGAAGGACTGATGTTTTGGTATTTTATGTAGAATGCCCAAAGCCGGATGTTTAGTTGAAAATTTAACTTAATTATTTTTATGCTGGGGTCATACATGAAAAGAAGACATAAAAACTGATACTGTTAAGGCCGATTCATATATAGGTACCTTAGCACGAACCAGTATCGAATTCGTAACATTTGCGAGTACCAAAAATGTCATTGTCAAATATGTACTGATGTTTAATTCTCGTTACGCCCGTTATGGCGCTGCTACTCAAGTTTCCATACAAAATCTGACAATGACATTTCTGACTCGCAAACTATTCGAATTCGATAATGTTTCGTGCTAAGCGTAAGGTAGGTTTTGTAAGTTGTGACGATAACAAACAAAAGATTTTCCCTTACGTAGTTTTAAATGCCTTTTATGGTAAAATATGCAAAATCTATTCTAAATATATGTCACCTCATTGTACCATATTTTTTTGCAATAAAGAAATCTAATATGTAAGTGTATGAATGTTTCAGTCTGTGGAAACTTAACTGGTTTATGAAAAAGTAATAAGTGTTACTTAATTGAATTGTGTAAAACTGTATGCTTCCCAAATGAAAATAAATAAAAATAAATAAATAAATAATCTGATCTAATCCTTACGTAGTTAGTTGTAAGCTTCGTGTGCGAATCGGACTCACACTTGGCTAGCATTATTTCACCTAAGAATGTTTAACGACACGAAATTCAGATTTTTTCTAATTCCCCTCTCGAAAACGAACCCATATTTAGATCTTTAGTAAATATAACAGACTTAAATAGCCTCTACTCGTGTTCAGCGAGTCATAACTTCACGCTTCTTTAGATAACGACAGCCTACGGTAAGGGGACGCGTGAATGAACCATATTCTTTCAGTTCGTGTAACATAGAAGTACCTATCGGAATATATATATCTATACATATAATAAAATGGTACTTGAGGTGTGATCTACGATAGATACCGAAGCCAAAAATATAGTTGTTAGAATTTTTGTCTGTATGTATGTCCGGGATAAACTCAAATAGTACTGCATGGATTTACTTCAAATTTGGCACGAATATTATTAAGTCGGGTCAACATATAGGCTACATATTATCACGCTATCACCTACGGGAAAAGAGCAGTGAACCTTTATTTCTAACTAACTCCACGCGTACGAAGTAGAAGCAACTACTGGTCTGATTTGAAAAAATCTTTTTTTGTTGGATAAGGCTAGGTTTACCAACTTTTTTTTCTATCTATAATAGTATTTTCGAAGCTGTTACATCTAAAAATATAAGTACATGGTAAAAAAAAATAAAAAAATATGTAGTAGGTATGTGGTTAAAATATATAGGTACTTCATTTTTCAAATTAATAATTTTTTGCTGCTCTAAGCAAAATATAGTATTTTCGCTTCTGTATATTTTTTTAGAAATATAGTATTTGTAAATTCGATTTATTTAAGTACCTAGGTAAGTTTTTAGACATTAAGTAGTTTTAAGCTTTTGTAATCTAAATATTTCTATGTAAATGACCTATTAAATATATTACCAGTATTTGTTCACATTATATAGTATGTTCTTAGATACTATATCATATAATAGGGTTGGGTTATAAAAAAAAAACGATTGAAATAGAGATATTTGGTTAATATGTTAGTTGTGCAAAAAATAAGCGGTAATTATATTGTGATTGTTAATATTTATTAGCACGTTATTCCAACACAAACTTACCGGAGGTCGTCAAGAAATTCATTGACCGCTACAGTCATCATCGTCGAAGATTTAAAGACTGCAAAAAGTAAACATACGCTGTTTATAAATTATTACAATAGTATTAGTTGGAGCTAGGGTTACCAACTTAAAATAGTATCAAAAATAGTATTTTTCGAAGCTGTTACCTTTAAAAATATAGAAGATGGCAAAAAGATGGAAAAAATATAGTATGAGCTTAAAGTATCTACTTCATTTTTAAAATGAATATAGTTTTGCTCCTCCATGCCTTAATAATTATCTTTTTTTGGCAAAAATCTGCTTTAAGTAAATTAAAGTAGTTTCGACTTCTATATATTTTTTGAAGTGAAAACTTCTTTAGCGGTGTTGTTTACTTTTTTTTGTATGGTTAAAAAATGTCAAACTGACGTCAGGTTAAACAAGTGGGCTGATTGCATCATGACACACAATAAAATTGGAAAGGTTGTTGACATTCAATATATTGGACGAAACATAGTAATATTTTATTTTATCGTATTATAATATTAAGTCTCTATCTTAGACGTCCACGTGGCAGCTTTATTGCGAAGAAAATGCATTTTTTTTAAAATAGATGTCGCTAGGTGCGCTAAATGTGATTCCTGTAAGTTGATTTCTTTACAATAGATGTCGCTAAGTGCGCTTAAACGTGATTCATGTAAGTTGATCTTTCTGAGAGATAAACTTTTTTTATGTAATATAAATTGTCATGTTTGTGTACGATAGCGCAATAAATAAATATTATATTCTACCACATACATGATAGTACTTTAATACTGATAATTAAAGCAATTCGTGCAAAATTATTCCCTAACCATTCCAAAATATCAAAAATGCACATCGTTAATATTCAAGTTTTCACTTCTGCCGGCACTCCCAGAGTGCAACCCGTCGTTTTTTTTAGTAATATAGTATTTGATCCCCTGATATAGTAGGATATTATATAGTAGGGTTGGCAACCCTGGTTGAAACCTAGACTAGATGTCACATTGTGATACGAAAACATTTTGTTTGTGATCGACTATTGTCTTGTAGATGCGTCGTGTGTGTGTGACTCATGTATGGTATGAGACTTACAAAATATTGTTTGTTACACATCTCGAGATAAGAATGGGCACAATTTAAGTTGATAATCCCATGCTGGAGTGGGATTTAAAGAAAAATATTGACCGGCTTCTATACGAACTAGAGGCGTCTCTGCCACCTTAGTAAGCGTGTAGTCAAAATGGAATGAGTACAAACTTACAAAGTACGTTTTGTAAGTAACAGCACATCAAATTACCGCAAACTGACAAATTTCCAATGAATAAAAAAATCTTTCGTTTGGAATTAAATTTGAAGAATAAAGTCGGTTGGTTTTGAATACCATGATGTGCTGTTGAACGTATTTAGAATTATATAGGGTGTTCGGGTGTTTACCCTAACAAGCAAAAATGTACACAGTTTTTAATGTCTAATATATCACATCACAAAAAATCCTATCATTCTTCAGTAAGATTTTTGTCAAAATCTCCTATATGATGAACCCCTTTTATGAAAATCCTTTAAACTTTAATGTACAAAGTTTGGTAATATAATGTCCTGAACTGCGACTGGAATCAGATGCTGAATATGTACCGTACAAACCTTTACCAAATCCAGCAAATGTTGTTAAGCTTTCGACTAAAAAAAAATTGGCTAAGGGCAAGTCGGACTCGCGCACGAAGGGTTCCGTATCATACACGACGACGTCCGTGGCCGAGTGGTTGGTACGCCGGGTTTCATGGTGTCACCTACTCGAGAGGTACCGGGTTCAAATCCCGGTGGGGGCAGATGTTTGTGTGATGAATACGAACATGTGTACTCCTGTCATGGATGGATGGATCTGAAATCTCGATCGTTCAAATAATCTTGTTCTTTTTTAACACTCATTTATTTATTACATTTTAAAATTATAAATGGGTTATGTTACATTATGATAATAAATTTAGTCAGAGACTACTTTATAAACAAGTATGTAATCAATTTATGTGACAATAAATAAATTTATTATTATTATTACATTGTGATGTAGAGGATTCGATGGTTGGTAGAGTAGGCCCATCAGAATCCGAAGCCGTGTCGAGATGCAGCCAGGGAGGTCGAATGGGTGTGAAAGACAGTGAGAGGAGAGGACAATTTAATTGTAGTGAGAGGCGAAAGGAAGAGGAGATGAAATGAAACAGAAAATAAATAAAGGATGGGAGTAAGATGAGCGTAAGAGATGAGGTTTAACAATCTTGCATGAAATATTTGATAGTATCCTTTGCTTTGCTTGAGGAGCTCGATGGCGCAAGTGGTTAGCGCGTTCGGCTGCGATCGTAGAAATTAAGCAACTTTCGCAGTGGTCGGTCATTGGATGGGTGACCAAAAATTACTATCTCGACATGGGGACATTAATAGGCATGATGATGATCCTTTGCTCATTAGTGTGTGTATGTTTTTACAGTTTATCTATTGTTGTAAAATGGGCTTGCTAAACATTGCCTAATTTTATTATCTCATATGTTATTTTATTTTTTACGTTTGGGATTAACGTATCTAATACGTGACAAGTTTCTGTTGAAGAGGTACATTCTTACGATAAACACTAATGGGTATTTTGATTAGAGCTATTGATAAAAGACACCACGAAATAGATAATACAGAAGGTAATCTCATGCATTTACTCCACTTTGCATACCTAGGGATGTTAAAAAAGAATCGATTTTTATTTAAATCTATTATTATTTTATTTTAATATTTTTTTTTATTATCGATTTTATAGTAAAATTTATTAGATTTTTAGTAAATCGATTATATAAATTACGTGTTTAAATCGATTTTCAGAAAGAGCGAGTTTTTATGCGACGGATGAAAAAGACATTGCAATAAGTTTCAATTTTATAAACAGCGCCATCTATGCGTTGGATGAAAAATCTCGAATTAAGTTCATACGTATAAGTTGATTAAGTATTTTGATGGGATGCTCATCATTTCATTTTTATTAAAATAAATATAATGTTTAAAAGTACAATTTTTGTTTTATCAACAATGCTATTTGTTTTCTTATTCCTTACCTTGAAATTTTAAAGCAGTGTTCCTTTGATTTTTAGTTTTGAATTGGTTATTTTTTCAATTCATATAATTTTATTTGATTTTTATAATATGAATCTCTTATGTTTATTGGTATATGAAAAGCATGTACTTTAAACAATACAAAAAAAAACGATTTTTCGCAGAAATCAATTATTTAGTTTTATTAACATCGGTTTTGACAAATCAATTAATTTCGAAGAAGTATACATCGATTTTAATTTAATCGATTATTTTCCATTAACCTCACAGCCCTACCTACCGCATCTGCATACCTACACTCGGCGATCGCGCTAGGATTGTCAACATTGGCTTATGCACAAAAAACTATCGCGGTAGTGGCACTCATATCAATTTGTTTGCTTTATTGTCGAGAAAAAACACAGAAAGAACGGAAATATAAAACAAAAATAACTAAAAATTTTCAATTTATTTTTTTGTTATATTACAAATTAAAAAAAATGTCAATTCACCGTTTAATGAATTTTAACAACCGTCTACTAAACTGGTACAATAATTTCTTTTGTTACTCCATTTTTGCACAATAAAGTTCACAGACGCGTGTCTCAAACGGATGGAATTCGCACTCGCAGTGGTCGCCAAACAAGATTGCTATGGCTATCGCTTACGATTTCATTTACTTATTTCGGACCGCTGAAGGTTTGGAAATGCCTCGCGCTCGTTTTTTCTTTTGCATTGGTAATTACAGTATTAAAGAAAATGAGCGTAAGGTATTTGAAAACCTTCGGGGGTCCGACAACAAAATGAAATCGTACGCGATAGCGATAGCCGTCGTGTTCGTAAGTGGTATCTAGGTGTGCGTTTCTCGAGCGCACTAATTATGATTACCTTCTGTGTTATCTATTTTATGTAGACACTTTCGGTACTGACACAGGATTCCAAAGGAGTTAGTCACAATCTATGGATTCGAACATCATCGGTGACCACAAAATGTGTAAATTCTTAAATATTCCAATGACTAATAAGAAATGTGAGTCAACAGACAGGTCGGTACGTATAAAACCGTGAAAAATGAAAAATAAACATTAATAAATACATTGAATTATACTTCTATAACACGCTAGCTCGACTACAAAAAATTAGACTACAATAAAATGTGGCAAGGGCAGGTCAATAGCAAAAATTGCATAAGGATGTTCCTATAATTTATGGCATTTTAGAACTAATCAGATGAGAGAGATGAGAATAAAGAATTAAGTAAAGTGTTATAAATATTACTACCTGACTCAGTGAATATCGTACATAAAATAAAAATAGGAGTTGGTTGTAGGAGGGTTAAAATTTAGGGTTGTGTATATATTTTTACTGTCGAATCCTAAAAAAATAATAAATATATTGACCCAAAAAAGAATTTGGGGTGGACCACCCTTGTTACTTATTTTACGGATATGAATAATTGTGTACATCCTATTCTCAGACATTCTGAATAAACCACAGAACAGATAAAATATTCTATTCTGTGGATACATATACACACAGAAAATTTCATAAGAATCAGTGAAGCCGTTTCAGAGGAGTTTTGTTGAAACACTGACACGAGAAGTTTATTTATAAATAATACTGTCTATTTTGTGATTATACTCTGTGAATTCTGTGATATCCGAAATATCCAAACACGATCTACGATAAAATTTATTCCTTAGATAATTATATACAACAACTTACAAGAATCAACAAATGCTGAATGTGGTATCGGTTACGTACGATTTCATATTTATCTAAGTGTATATTTTAGTATATTTTTATACAAGGCGCAACAAATTACGCCGCACCATCTGATGAAAACAACAAAACAAAAAAAACAAAACGAGAAGGGGATAGCTGTGCATGGGTACGACTGGAGCCAATCGGCGCTACGCACGCCCGCCCGCGCACCTCGTTTCCCCCCAACACATCCTAATTTTTATTTCTGCGCAATAACGGTCAGCGCTAGAGTTTCGTGCCGCGACTTATATGTAATTAAGTAAACCCGTATTTTTGTATATTTTTAATGAATTTTTTATGTATTTAGTTTTCAACCTCAATTGCTATTCATATGACTGAAATTTGATATATGTATAGTTCTATATTAAATGTTTTACCTATAACGTAATCTATCTTTAAATGTGTCATCAGATAAAAACATTATACAAATATATAAAAGATTCCGCTGATAAAATTCGTTGAATAGTTTTACTATTCATAGTTTAATAACTCATTAAATTTATCTATAGAAGCGATATAACAGG